GGGTTTCTCTGTGTAGTACTGATTGTAGAGCAGGCTGGCCTTGACCTCTGCCTCTGTCTCCCAAGTTCTGGGATTAAACGCATGCACCACCACTGCCAGGCTTGTGACCTTATTTTTAATTGTCATTTCCAATAGCAAAATACCAACCTTGAAGTGCTTTGGGAATGGGGTTTCATAGTCACTGCAGCCCCCAGGAATCTCCAAATGTGCCTGCACACAATCTGGGCTACACTCTTCCTTCAGTCCTGTCTTTGTATCTTGATGCTGGCATGAATGGGTTCAACAAGAAACAGCTCACTTTCTTGGCTTGAGATTTTTGACTTCCAAACCAACACAATGAAAGATGAAGAAGAGGATGGAGATGGAAGGAGGCCCAGACATCCCTTTTCCCTCTGCCATACCACAATTTGGATATGACCAGAGTTTCACCAAACATGGCCTGGAGCCAACCCCCACCTGTGTTCTTCATGTTGTGGTGACCCCTAACTATAACACTATATTTGTTGCTACTTCATAACTGTAATTTTGCTACTGTTGTGGATCATCATGTAAATATCTGACATGCATGATGGTCTTAGGCAACCTCTGTGAAAGGGTCATTCAACCCCAAAAGGGGTTGTGCCCCACAGGTTGAGAACTGCTGGTATAGACCATGAGTAAAGAATGGTTTTATATATCAAAGTGGCTGGAAAACTTCAAATGATTAAGAATATTTCAAGGCATGTAAAAATGATATGAACGTTAATTTTCAGTTTCCATAAACGAAATTACATTGGAACCCAGCCACACTGACTTACGAATTGCCACGGCTGTTTTCTCACCACAATAGCAGCATGGAACAGTTGCAACAGAGACCACCATATGGGCCACAAAGCTGAAAAATTGCCACCTATACCTTCACTGATGTTTGCTGACCCCTAGCACAGTCAAGCAAGTGACCACTTGAGAACGTGGAACTACAGTGCTGGAGAAACATGGATTATGTAGATAAGGGTGTAGCCTCCTCACCTGCCTAAGCTAAGGAAATTCATCCTCCCAAGTGAAGGAACTCTAGCAAGGAATTCTAGCAGGCCCAAGCCTGGCAAACATGGTGCTGGCAGGCCTTGCCCTTCCCCCTTCCCTCTCCCTTGTAAATCATTAGATTATATTCCTGAAGCCAGCCCCAACCAAGGTCCATTCCCTTATTTGGCAAATCCCTCCTCCTGAAGCTGACTACCAAGTTCCAGCTATCAAAGTATTAAGGTCCAACAAACCACCCCCTGCTTTGGTTTCACCTTATTAACATGCCCAATCAAAATATACCACCATCACATTCTAGACCTTCCCTTTTTCTCTTCTTAAACATTACTCCTGCAAGGTCATTTGCTGCTGTTCTCTGCCGGAGTCAGAAAGCAGCCACTTTTCTCCCTGCTTACTAAAGAATCTCTCTGTGAAAACAGGTGTGTGGGTGTGGTTTGTGCCTAATCCGAGGTCTGGCAGGGAACACTGGCTATGTGTGTGGGGGTCTCCCTCACCAAGATCAGGTCACAGCCCCCACCCCCACCCCGCTGCTTCCCCTTGTCTAAAGCCCATGCCTGCCACATGGCTGGCACTTGCTGAGCATCCACGGAGAAGCAGGGAGCCTCCTGATAGCTTGCCCGCATCTTCGCTTCCTCCTTCTTTCTCATATTCTATTTTCTGAGTAGTTGTCAGAGGGACACAGAATCTTACACTGGTCTTTCAGACCCCAGGAGCAGTTTCTGACAGTTTTGGCTCCGTGAAGCATCCCAAGCTCCTATCTCAATGCTGCAGCTGCCTGCTCTGTTTAGTCAGGATGAGTTTCCCACAATGCACCTGTCCGTTAATCCCACAATGTGTACACTCAGATTTACACACACACACACACACACACACACACACACACACACACACACACACTCCAATTGGATAAAGGGGGAAAAAACCCTGTCGAGCTTGAAAGAAAATGTCTTTCATAAGCAGATCTGGCTTTTCCCATTGTGCAAATGCAGCTGCCGCTTGTTTTGGAGAGAGATGGTACATATTTTGTACATGGGCTGCCCTGACGTATTGAATGCAGGTATTGATATAAACTGGAAGCAGGAAGATGAAGGAGAGAATGAGAAGGAGAGGGCACTGCAAAGTGAGCAGCCAGACACAAGGTGTGGTGTCAATACCATAAAGTTCAGATTCAGGACTCCCAAGTCAATCACCTTCACGGTAGAAAGGCTGGGTGTGAGGAAAAGGGAGTGGGCGGTCCTCCCTGACAACTTACTTATCATTTAAGACAATTTCATGAACAAAAATATCTTGAGGGGGAGAGGGGTTCCTAGAATAAAGTACAGGAAGAGAATATAGACGTTAACAATGCTCCTGTTTGGGTGGGAGGAAGGAGTGATCTGTTCCTTTTATTTAAGCTATTCTGAGTTCCTCACATCCCCCTTTGGCACTAAGATGAAGAGAAGGGATGTGAATGGTGAATTCACTGCAGAAAGACCTCACAGACAAGTGGGTACCTTCTGACCCCAGCTTCCCCCGGGGCTCATCAGAAATCGCTCTGGAAATGTTTAAAAAGGCATTGTTTTTCAGGCTTCTTGCTTTTACTCTGAATACCAAAAACTGAGCACAGGAGCATCTTCCCACACCCCCATACTCCCCCAGACCCCCCACACCTCTGCCATGGTCTGGAGAGGCAAGGACATTTTCTGAACTGGTTTCTTCCTTTTAAATATTGGCAATCTGTCTTATGATTATTTCTAATTTACTTTCCTTAAAATTTAAAATCTTATTGACATTCATTCATTATACATGATGATGGTTCCCATGAAAAGTTTCTCAATGTATAATGTACTTTAACCATATTAAACCCCAATATTCCCTTCTCCCCACTTCTCCTCATCTCCTTTCTTCCCCAGTGTCCCCTCAGCTTACATGGCATATACGAATATGTATATAATCTAGGACCCACAAATGAGAAAAAGACATTGGATAGGCATCTTTCTGAGTTGAACTTGTTCAGTCTAATATCATCATCTCCAGGTCCATCTATTTTCAAGCAAATGACATAATTTTGTGCTTCTTTACAGCTAAATAAAACTCCATTGTGTAGACACATCCCAGGCTTAACCAGGAGGGAAAAGAGAATTAAGACTACACTGAGAGTCTCTCACTACAGTCAAAATGGCTATCTTTAAGGAAACAGTAAATGCTGGGGAGGATGTGAGGGAAAGTGGAACTCAAATATGCTCTTGGTAGGAATATAAATTGTTCTAACCACTGTGGAAGTCAGTATGTATGTTCCCTAAGAAACGAAACACGGAATTGCCATATGACCCAGCTATGCTACTCTTAGATATGTACCCTAAGGACTCTAAGACAACATATCACAGAAATATTTGAACATCATGTTTGTTGCTGGAATCTTGATACTAGCCAAGTCATAGAAGTAGCCTGTGTGTCCATCAGCAGATGAATGGCTAAACAGGGTTTCTTTTTGAAGACGAAACAAAATGAAATCTCTACTATGCCAGAGTATCTCCAGACTCATCAGTGACAAACCCCCCTCCACATATAAAATTATGTGGATTTTTATATTCACCAAAATAATGAATAACTAAGATTATACTTCAGGGTAAATATATAGATTTCAGTTAAGATGGGCACATGCTCTTTTTGAAGTTAAGGCTATTGAGATGGCTCAGTGCATCAAGGTATGTGCCACCAAGCCTGACGACCCAAGTTAGATCTCCAGAACCCACAAGGAGGAAGGAAAGGACTGTCCATATCACCCCAGTTAGGGATGAGGACTCATGAACTTCTTCCCACTCCATGATAGACATTGACTGGGTTGATCTTGGGCAAGCAACCACAGCTGCTGATTCACGAGCGCAACGGCCATGTTGGGTCCAGAAGACACTGCTTTCCAGTCCTCCTGACCTCTGACTCTTACAATCTTTCTACTTCCTCTTCCACGCTGGCCCCTGAGCCTTGAGGAGAGCATGTGATATAGATGTCCAAATTGTTGCTGAACTCCTCAGTCACTTATTCTCTGCACTTGGGATTATTAAACAAAAATTTAAAAGAACACAAAGTTGGGAGAGAGATGGATCCAGGAGGAATTAAGGGAGAGTTGGGGTAGATATGACCAAAATACATTGTATGAAAAGTTCAAAGAATAATGAAATATTCTTTGAGGGGAATGCGTATATTTTACTTTATTTTTATTTTTGAGATTATAAGTACAACATTTTTCTCTTCCCTTTTCTCCCTCCAAACCCTCCCATATATACCTGTCCTTGCTCTCTTTAAAATTCATAGCCTATTTTTCTTTCAATATTCTTAAAGAAAAAATAAAGGATGCAATAAACTATAACACAGATGAATTTTTAAAATAAGCATAAAAAGAGACAATATCTACAACATTTAGTAGGATACAATGCAGAATGTGTAAGTGGCACCTGATACAGTAGTCTGAGTATTCAGAATTGTAAGCCACCAACAAGAAATTTAGCCGGGATCTCTAAAACTTCACTTGGCAATATAATTTACTTCTAGCAGCCAAGACAAAAGGATGAAAAAGGTTGAATTCAGTTGAATTCTGTTAAAATGGCAAATAAATCCTGTGCCCTCTTGGACTGGGTGACTACTATCTTTGTAGTGGCAGTGGCAGGAGGCTTCTTTTCTGCAGTGTTATGGAGGTGGAGGGGGTTGTCTCAGGCTGGAGTTCTCCACACACACAGTGCTAAAAAAGAGCACACTGGGGATCATTTCCACATGGAATACTGAGGTCCTTTTCTTTCCCTCCCACTTAGTTCCAAACAGGGCATTAAATAACACAGGCAGAAGGTAGGATGGGTCTCCTCTAGTGAGAATTCCACCATCCCAAGTAAGGCCTTGTAAAGATGATAGTATGGGCATGGGATACAATTCCTGAGCAACTGAACCAGACAGCTCATTCTCCAAGAGAACAAACGCAGAACTTCTATCCTTGTTTTGTTTCCTAGTGCTCCACTTTTTAGCAGGATGGGAAGGAAGCTAAAGGTGACCAGACTCCTGGACACAGCTCCTCGCATGAATGGCACAAATCAGAGCCAACAGACAAAATAACGAAGGTGGAAGAGGACTGTGGTGGGAGATAAAACCTCAGACCACCATGTGCGTCCTTAAAAAGATAAAAGCAGACATTGTGTTCATGAGACAGGAACCCAGTTCAGAAATGAGAAAACTCCTAGGAATTGAAGATGCTACAGGGTACCTTTTAAAAATGATCTTCATCAGAAGGGCTAGAAGACAAAGTTGGTTTCAAACAGCTATCTCATGAAGCAAGCCCAGGACCTGGTACCACTGCCTAGATGCCTCCCAAACAGATCAAGCCAATCAACTGTCTCACCTATTCAGAGGGCCTGATCCAGTTGGGGGCCCCTCAGCCTTTGATTCATAGTTCATGTGTTTCCATTCGTTTGGCTATTTGTCCTTGTGCTTTATCCAACCTTGGTTTCAACAATTCTCGCTCATATAAACCCTCCTCTTTTTCGCTAATTAGACTCCCAGCGCTCCACCCGGGGCCTAGCCGTAGATGTCTGCATCCAGATTCCTCAGTCCTTGGATGGGGTTTCTGGCACAACTATTAGGGTGTTTGGCCATCCCATCACCAGAGTAGGTCAGTCCTGGCTGTCTGGGACACTTGGCTCAATCTGGGAGGAGGGGACTGGACCTGCCCGGACTAAGTCTATCAGGTCGATCTCAGTCCTTGGGGGTGGGGGGGGGTGGGGGCCTTGATCTGGAGGTGGTAAGAATGGGGGGGTAGGCTGGGGGGAAGGGAAGGGGGGGCAGGAAGTGGGAGAACAAGGGAATTTGTGGCTGTTATGTAGAACTGAATAGTATTATAAAATAAAAGAAAAAAAAACAAAAACAAAAAACAAACAAACAAACAAAGAAGACAAAGTTGGTGAAAGCATCCTCTTATTCCATACAGAAATAAAGCTGAACTCCAAAAGCAAAAAGACAAGAAAACTAGAACATGTCTTGTGTTTCAATGGTTGGAATTTCAGAAAAATGGGGACAGACAGGCAGAAACACATGGAAGAAAAGAAAACCCCCCATTCCCACATTGAAACTTCAAATTCACACTGCGGCAGAACACAAGATTCCAGATTTATTTAATTACCAATAAAATAAATAAATAAATAAACAAACAAATAAAATATCTAATATTTTCTTATCCCTCTCTCCTCCTCATAGGAACCCTGGAAAAGGTGGGAGCTGGCCTCCCACACTAATAGTGAAAGGAGACCCCAGGTTAGCAATACCACATTGACAAGAGACTGACCAGTGTACATTAAACCAGAGGAAATACCTCATTATGGATAGAATCCATAGATGACTTTATGTGACTTTGCATTAAAGGAAAATTAAGCCATAGGGAGATGCTGAGGTGAGTTCATGATAACCACACAGGAAATGAAAACAACTCAGAAAACAATTATTAGCTCCAGAAAAAGCAAACAGTGTGCCCAAAAGGGAATCCTACAGTATTACTTACTCATGGTGGTTCTGCTATGAATATTTATACATAGTCTTAAAAACACAAATGGTAAATATTAATCAACCAAAAGGATCCAGCTTAGGGAGAGGATGGGATAGAGGATAGGAAGTGTACCTGCACACAGAAAAGTGGTGGAGAGGGAAATTAGACGACGCTGATATATATACCTTCTAATGGAGTATAGCAAGATATGGGTGGAGTTTAGAGACATGGAGGCACCCAACAGAAGCAACCACAATGGGAAGCAATTGCCTATGAAGGGCAGAAAAATAAGTTCTTCTTCTGTTTAGGGACAAGGAGGTGCTAAGCTCCAAAACAACTCTCTGAGACTATCTTCACTCTTCAAACATACATTTAAAAATTTTAAAAATAAAATCTTTGGTTGAAAGGTTGACTTTGTTGTTAAGAATCCTCTTTCCCAAGGTGGTCAAGGGCAACCTTGCCCTCTGTGTTAGGCTGATTCACTCGAATTTCTGATTTTCCTTTCACAACTTAATGACTTGCTCATTGTAGCACAGCATCCCCTCGGGAAGAATCCTCAGATGTATTAAATAGTTGTCCTGGAATGACTTAAAGAGAACAAAAGTAGTTGTAACCAGTTGCTTGCCCTAGTTGTAAACAAATAGGAAGTTACTGTTGTTGTTGAGTATATATTACAATATAAATTATAATGTACTTTCATGTTGGTGGTATCTCCGAAGCACTGTTTGCCAATCATTTTTAAAATAATATTGATTGCACTCCTTTTATGTCTCCGGCATTGTGAGAGGCGATAACTAAGTTCAACTCCAGGGCGGATTGCAGGTGGACTTACAGACTCAGAGTTGACATGGTTTGAATGTGTGATGTAGAGGTTTCTTCAGTGCCACAGCTGCACCCACCCCTTCTATCAGGGAGCACTCTTTCAGTTGTCTCCTGCGCTGCCCCAGATCCTCTCTAGGGGGAGACCTGCCACCCCATGGTATCTTCAGAGTGATGGCCCTCCATGTTCTGGTCAAGAGACAAGTACGAGTGAAGCTGCCCTTGTTCTGAGGTTTGCTGTGGTTTAAATGCTCCATGCTCTCCAGGGCCTTGCATGTTTGAACAGTTGGTTTGCAGGAGGTGACAGTGTTTGAGAAGGTTGTGGGACCTTTAGAAGGCGGAGCCTTGCTGAAAGAAGTGGGTAGTGGGTAGCTGTTCTGTCGTTGACCTTGAAGCACCGCCCCTAGAGAGGCAGCAGGTAACTGGCTCCACCTGCCTAGGACCTTGAAGTGCACGCCCCTGGGGCATGGCCTCACCGGGACCCTTAAGATCGCTCTCTTCGCTCCCCGGTGGGACTTGGAAGCGGAACTGATTCAGGCGGCATTCCAGAACCTGTTTCAATTCTGTTCTAAACAGTGAGTTTTTCCCCTTAGTAAATGTTTTCGCCCACCAAACAGGCTCCATGGATTTCTCATTATAGAAGTGGGTCACTAAAGGTGGGCCATGAAGTTCCATAACCCTGCTCCATTCTGCATTCACTCTCTGCTTCTTCACTGAGAATGCAATGTGACCAGCTGGTCTCCGGTTTCTGCTTTCTCCTGCCATGACAGAATGTATCCTTTAAATGTAAGCTAAAATCAACCTTTTCTTCAAAAAAAAAAATCCTGTTGCAGAGGACACAAATTCAATTCCTAGCACCCACAGGTATTGGATTTACAATCACCTGTAACTCCAACTTCCGGGAAGCCACAGGGGATCCAATACTCTCTTAAGGTCTCCAGAGGCACCTGCATGCACAATCACACACTAACGTGCAGACACACAGATACAAAGAAATACAAATAAAAAAGAAAGCTTAAACACCAATACTTTAAGACTCTAACCTATCCACACATATATAAGATACTCAAAGACACACCACACACACACACACACACACACACACACACACAGGAACTTATTGATATCAGAAAGAGGAAAAAGTCAGTGAGGAATCATAAGATGTAAGAGAGCATCAGGGAAAGATGAGAGACTGCCCTCACCATTGAGAAGGAAATTGTAAGGATCCAGTTTTACTCTGTAGCACAAATCTTAAAAGGTCTTAGTAATAGAATCAAACCTGAAGCCAGGTATTGGGTTAAAGCTGGAAGATTAGAGAAGCAGAACAAGCCACAGCCTCACCTCACCAATTCCTCAGCTGATCCTGTTTCCTCAGACTGGAAGCCTCTGAGTCCTCATCCAGAATGAATCGCAGCTGAACTGTGCTGCTCAAAAGCCTGAAAGCTTAACCAGCTCTAGTTCTTGGTCCTCGCGCCTTATATAACTTTCTGCTTCTGCCATCACTTTCTGGAATTAAAGCCTCACTTCTTGGGATTATAGGTGTGAGTCACCATGCCTGGCTGTTTCCAGTGTGGCTTTAAACTCACAGAGATCCCGATGGATCTCTGCCTCCCAAGTGATAGGATTAAAGGCATGTGTGCCACCATTTTCTGGCCTCTATATCTAGTGGTTGTTCTGTTCTCTGACCCCAGATAAGTTTATTAGTGTACACAATATTTTGGGGAACACAATACCACCACATTACTCTTTCAGCTTTCCCTAGTACACCTGACTTTATAATATATGTGGTTCCTCTGTTGAATGTCCCTTCCCCACCAATCCCTGCCATTACAACAGTGCTTCCCAGACGTTTTCATTACTAATAGCATTTAAATAGACGTTTTCACACAGTTGATTGAGGGTATATATAGGAAGAAAGGAAAGAAGAATATGCATATATTGTGCACTTTGTACTATGAAGGCCTCAGAATTGACAGGTAGGCTGGATTATTGACAAGTATAGGCCTACTAGCTAGCCCTGAGAATGATTGACTACCGTAGTTAATGGAGTTGTCCACAGCCTTCTCCTTTTCCCACCACTCATATATGGTGAAGGATAGATCTGGAAGAGTAAAATTCTCTTCCCAGGCCCTTGCCTATGAGGAGATGTGGCCAGCCATAGGAGGTTGGCTTGGGTCCATTCCAGTCACACTGTTAGCATCCCAATACTCTTTCTCCCCCCAAAAAATCTTTCACCCAGATTCTATAAACTCTTTCCATACCTCAACAAATCTTATGAGAATACAATGTCAAGCCAACTCTGTCCATCAGAGGCTATGTCACTGACAGAGACATTGAAAATTATCTGAAAGCCCAGATGAGGTGTCCTTCCTGTGGCGGAGAAGTGGGAAACACAAGTGTCCTGGAGGAGTCTGTGTTTAAGGAGGATGGAGTATCCTGGGACAAGTCTTCTTCAGAATCCCAGAGCCTTCTTTCCCTCCTGTGAATTCTGAGCACATGTGGCTTGGACAAGCATTTCAGTCGCTGGTTAACTGTAGTCCTGTGGCTCTTCCTGGGGCTGCAGGAGATAAACAATCACATTTTATTGAATGCTGATTTGATCTACTGAGAGGTTACCACTGTCTCCTTCAGCTGCAGGTTTGTGGGAAGAAGACTCAAAGGTAGTTATCATAACCATCCTCCTCCCGCTCTTCAACTGGACCTAGGCCCTGTGCTTGTGGGTGACAGTTGTATAGTTTGGTCTGTTTGTGGGGCCCCTAGCAGTGGGACCAGGATCTGTCCCTGAAGCATGAGCTGGCTTTTTGGAACCTATTCTGTATGGTGGGATGCCCCGCTCAGCCTTGATGCAGGGGACGGGGGAGCTTGGTTCTGCCTCAACTTGCTATGCCATGCTTTGTTGATTCCCATGGGAGGCCTCACCCTTTCTGAGGAGTGGATAGGGTGGGTAGCAAGAAGGTTGGAAGAGGGAATGGGAGGAGAGGAGGGAGGGGAAACTGTGGTTGGTATGTAAAATAAATAAAAATAATAAGAAGAAGAAAGAAAAAGAGGAAAGAAAGAAAGAAAAAGAAAGAAAGAAAGAAAGAAAGAAAGAAAGAAAGAAAGAAAGAAAGAAAGAAAGAAAGAAAGAAAGAAAGAAAGAAAGAAGAAAGAAAGAAATCATCCTACTCCGACTAGTGTCATTCCGGGCCAGTTTCTTATCCTCCCATTTGCCAAAGGTAAGTATGGTATCAGAAGGCTGTAAGACAAAGTTGCTG